AAATTACTTGAAAATCAACCTCATGCTATGTTCTAGATTCAAAGCCTAGAGAACGCTATCTGCTAGACATTGTTCTCTAGAGTCCTGGACAGCAGCTCCCTGTTTAGTCATCAGGAGACCCTGCAAAACCTTTGCTTTTCTGTGAAACATTGTTAAGCATATTGAACTATGTTTGCAAAAGCAGAATTTGGGAACACATTGAAACAAAACCAAAAGATACTGTGTGGTCAAACCCTCATTTCACTAGAAAGCTAAATTAACCAGAAGAATCTTTTCTGGAAATTCTAGTGTTTCTGGTTTTATTGAAATTTATTAAACTTGATGATTGAAAATAACATTACTTGATAGGGCCAGAGCACAAGTCATTTTTTAAAAAACACATTATTAATGTTTTAAGATTATTTATAATCATTGAAGCCTGCATAAAGACTGGAATGTCAATAATCAGGCATTATTCATAATAACCAAAAGCAATCTGTATGTTCATACAGTTGAATGCTACATAGCAATAAACAATAAAAGGAATGAATTACTTAAAAAAAAAAGAGAGAAAGAAAGAAAGAAAGAATGAATGAAAAAATAAGAACACTGAAGTCCACAGGATATGCCAGTGGTGTGACATATTTTTTTTAATTATTATTTTTTATTGTGAAATACTCATTTTTTAGAATTAGTTTCAGCTGTACAACACAGTGCAATAGTTATACATTTTACCCCTCAAAGTGACAACCCTCTCCCCCAATCCGCCGCCCCACTTCCCCCCCAGGCATATTTTTTTCAACTTGTGATTATGAAAAATTTTAAACATAGAGAAAAACTGAAGACTAGTACAGTGATCACCTAAGTGTTCATTACATACATTTAACACATAACATTTGTAATATTTATTTTGTCTGTATTCTTTTCTGCTAGGAAGCATTTGAAAGCACACAGTATGACACTTCGTTGAAATACTACGCATGCATTGGTTCGTATCAACTTTCCTCTGTCAGCACTATTGCACTTAGGAACATCGGCAAGAAATCCCAAGGTTTAATATTTAGTTCACATTCTAATTTCTCCTGGTTTTGAGTCAAAGTTCAGTCACCGCGTTAGTGTAATTTCGTTTTATGTAAAAGCAATTATCACGAAAGATCTAAACTAACAATTGACTTTTGAACATTATTGAAATACATGGGGTTACTGCCCTCAAGTTGCTGTAAGGAGCTCTGACAGGATAAAAATACAAGTGTGTGACCCCGAGGTGAGAAATGGGCCTCGGCAGGTTGTAAGCCCAAAGTGGAGCTTGATCAGCAGTGGGTCTGCATGTGGCTCTCTGGCTTCCTGCATCATCAGCGAGAGGGCCGTTTGGGACTAAATAGGGAGAATGGGTGAATGCCACCAATATGGATTAACAGTCAGACTTGAGTTATATGTGCCTCACGTCCCTTTGCATGACACTTAAAAATGATGAATGAAAACACAGCTCCTGTTTTCAGAAGGGTCCATGTGAAGCTGCAGGGAGAGCAAGAATGTTCCTGAAATAATAATATTGGAGGAGAGGGCTCAGTGACATAGGGTTGAGGTGGTGGAGAAACAGCCCATCAGACACCTGGAAAATTTGAAAGATATTTAACACAAAGCTGTCCAACAGAACTTTCTGCAAGGGAGATATTCTATGTCTGCACTGTCTAACGTGGTAGCTGCTGTATTGAACACTTGAGGCTAGTATGACTGGCAAACTGAATTTTACATTTTATTTAATTTTAGTTACAATTTTTAAATAGTAACACGTACTTAGTTGCTACTGTGTTGGAGAGCACAACTCTTAGCTCCCAGGACAAATGTCCCACAGGCCACTGAAATCAAGAGGATTTCAGCAAGATTCACAGCGTTCACCAGACCAGCAGTAATAATGAGGGACAATTAAGCCAAATTTGGTTCACCTTCTATCCATCCCTGAGTCAATTTTTCTAATACAAGTTCTGTTTTAAAGATATTCTTCTCTACTAATGCTCGTAGACAATGAAAGCTGTTTTAAGGGGATAGTGAAAAGATGAAAACTTCTTTGGAAATGGAAACCTCATCTTTTGTGGAGAACGTCTTTTCTAATTGATTTGGTCTCTTCAGGAGGCTGGTACCTTATATGTTCAATTAAAAAAAACAAATCCAAGATTTATCACCTTTTAAGACTTCTAATATTCATATTGTGTAATTCTAATAAATGTGGTCCAGGCACAGGATACACGGACTGATGTCCTTTTAATTTCAGGGAGGTGAAGAACATGAAGAAATAAAAAGTGGATTCACTTGACTTATTACATCGTCTCTTGGGATCAGAGGATCATTAGGAAAAATTGCCTTTCTGTTCATTCCAGAGGCCCCGGGGGGGGGGAAATTGTGTACTTAGCAGTTGGAATAAGAAGAGGGAAATGTGCCTGATGAGCAGATACAAAGAGCACTGTAACGCCTCCTCTGTGCGTCTCTCAGCTTGTACCACGTTGGTGCCCAGGACCTGGGTGTTGCTTTTGAGTCCTCAGCTGGCTGTGAACTGATGCTTCACTCCTTCCTGCTGTCTTGTGTGGGGACAGAGCTTCAGTCTCCATCATGAAACTTCCAGGGAGTAATTCAGACTTCCACACAGAGCCCTCCCTCTCAGAGACCCCATCCAGGTGAGTCTGAGAGCCCAGCAGGTACTGAAGGAAAGGGTCAGAGAGGTCAGAAATGAGAACTCTCACCTGAGTCACTGCAACCCTAATCAGCCCAGAGACTAGAGATCACCATGTCTGTATTCTTGGTTAAGTAATTGATTTATAATAAATTCATTTAATATATTAATAAGGATGCTTGAATCTGCAATACAAGGGCCGTAGTTAACAAATTAAGTGATGGGCTGGATGTACCGAAGGTGACTCTGCAGAATAAGTGAGATGCATGAAATGGTTGCAGTATAACGGAAACATATCTGAGGATATGTTTGCTATTCGGGAAGTAAGATAATAGAGTGTTAGGTGTGGAGGCCAGAGCAGTGAAGTGAGAGCATTTGTATAAAATTTCTAAACGGGGTGTATTTGAGCATGTTTAGTAGTCACTGAAAAGATCCAGCCAGTGGAGGTAGAAACTACCTCGCAACAGTCATTCATGAGACATACATGGCAGCATCTTCTCTCATGCTGGGTATTCACATGAAAACATTATTTAATAAGTGCAATGAGGAATACGAAATAGTTTTAATGTAAATTATTTCATTACTGGTGAGACTGCATATATTTTGGGTTTGATACTTGTTTATTTCTCTATTTGAACAGTTAGTAGGGATTCCCAGCCCACACTCAGCCTTTCCCCCTGGTGGTCATTGTTGTTTATATTTTTAATGAGCAATTCTCTCATGTACTGGGAAGTATAAATTGAGGACTGACCTACTTCTAGGCAATGAGTACACAGTGCTAAGAACAAAACAGTTCAGTGATGGAGGAATTATGTCTGTAGGGCTGGGTTCCTTCTAGAGGCTCAGGTGAAATCCTGTTTCTCTTCCTATTTCAGTTTGTATTCTGCCTGCCTGCCCTCTTTGTCTCATGGCCGTTCCTCTGTCTCCAAAGCCAGCAGTTTAGCTTCGTCATCTTGTCTCTCGCTTCTACATCTAGAAGACCATTATGGTTGCCTTAGTCCCACCTGGATGATCCTGGCTCATCTTCTTAAAGTCAGCCGATGAGCAAGCCTGTCCATCTTCTACACCAATCCTCCCTTATTATGAAAGTATCCAATGCAAAGGCACTGAGATAGTGTGTGGACATATTTTGGAGGCTCTTTATTTTCTCACTACAAAGTCTCTTATAAGTGTATTAGTATGTGTCACTCAGGGGGCCTTATATAAGAGAAATGAACACAGAATTTATCATAGTTTCTGGAATGAGTGAATACACAATTGCTTTAAAAATACAGCAAAGAAATATTTCTTTTAGAAGACCTTAAAGTGCCTACACCTGGCTCTGACACAGGACCTCAGCCTTGCTATTCAGAGCGTGGTCCACAGACCAGGACCTGCAGCATCAACACCCGCTGGGAGTTTGTTAGAAATGCAGCCTCTCTGAGTCCCCAGGACCTGCTGATTCAGATTCTGCATTTCTGGTAGGATCCTTGTTGATTCGTAGGCACACTCAAGTTGAAGGGCCGGTCTTGACTGGGTTCGTTCATCTTCTCATTGTTGACATTAGGGGCTGAATAGTAGTTGGGTGGGGGTGCTTTACTGTGGATTGTAGGTGTTTAGCAGTATTCTTTTAGGCATTTTCAGACATCCCAGGCTCAAAATCATTTCTGGGTGAGAAACACTGCTAGAGGCAACTGGAAAAAAACTGTAATCAAGGCCCATCAAAGGCTCTGATATTCACTTTCAACAGATCACTAAACCCTTCTTGCTCCACCCCAGGGCCTTTGCACTGGCCATTCCTTCTTCCAGATACAAACTTGCCCACATAACCTTTCCTCTCCCTCCCTTTCTTTCTACACTGAAGTCCCTCTTGAAATGTCACCTTGTTTGCAGGACTTGACTAAATGCCCATTAAAAAGAAAACACACTAGTCACTGTCTTTTTTAGATTCACTTTCCTTTTCTTCATATGATCTGTCACCAACTGGAATATTATATATTTTTATTATTAGGTTGCAAAATTTTTCTTCATCATTGACTTGTGTGAACTTCTGTTTTTCAGCACTCCAATACTCACAAACTAGACAGTACCTAAAACATGATGAGCACTCAATTTATATTCCTGAAATACATGAAGAATTTCTCATGAAAATTGGAAAATGCATGACACCCTTGGAAAGAATCAGATTGGGACAAAAATTCCTGATCTGAGATGGCGCAGCAAACCCCTAGAGGGAACCAGATCCACACAAAAATGTAGAAATTAATCACTTAGCAGCAAAACATAAATTGCAGCATTAGAGTTATCTGAGTAATGTCTGTTTTTATGAAAATTACTCATGTTATTTTTCTGTCTTGGAAGTCACCTTCACTCCATGGGACCAGCTAATCTTACACAAGTTTCAGAATTTCTTCTCCTGGGACTTTCAGAGGAGCCAGAACTGCAGCCCCTCATCTTTGGGCTTTTCCTCTCCATGTACCTGATCACTGTGTTGGGAAACCTGCTCATCATCCTGGTGGTCAGCTCAGACCCCCACCTCCACACACCCATGTACTTCTTCCTCTCCAACCTGTCCTTTGTGGACATCTGTTTCACCTCCACCACCGTCCCCAAGATGCTGGTGAACATCCAGATGCAAAGCAAAGTCATAACTTATGAAGGCTGCATCACCCAGATGTATTTTTTCACAGCCTTTGGACTGTTGGATGACTTCCTCCTGACTGTGATGGCCTATGACCGCTTTGTGGCCATCTGTCACCCCCTGCACTACACGGTCATCATGCACCCCCGGCTCTGTGGACTGCTGGTTCTGGTGTCCTGGATCATGAGTATCCTGATTTCCTTGTTACATAGCTTAATGGTGCTGAGGTTATCCTTTTGCACAGACTTGGAAATTTCCCACTTTTTCTGTGAACTCAATCTGATGATCGAACTTGCCTGTTCTGACACCTTTGTTAACATCATGGTGATGTATTTTTTAGTTGGGCTTCTGGGTGGTGGTCCCCTGGCTGGTATCCTTTACTCATACTCCAAGATTGTTTCCTGCATACATACAATGTCATCTGCTCAGGGGAAGTATAAAGCATTTTCTGCTTGTGTTTCTCACCTCTCTGTTGTCTCCTTATTTTATTGTACTATGCTGGGAGTGTACCTCAGCTCTGCTGTGACCCACAGCTTACAGTCAAGTGCAACAGCCTCGGTGATGTACACTGTGGTCACACCCATGCTCAACCCCTTCATCTACAGTCTCAGGAATAAAGATATAAAGGGGGCTCTGAAAAGATTCTTTGGGTTGACAGATATTAAAAGGACAATCATCCTGAGGCTGAAAAAATGTCCTTGATTTCATGGCTCCAAGTAGAAATCCAGCCATTATAAGGTTTTTTTAGGTTTTTTTTTTTTAGCTGAGCCATCATGCCACCTTTTGGCAGCTCAGCGGCTGCTCAGCTCGGGCCAGGAATCGAACCACTGTTGCTCAGAGCTCAAACTCTTGAGCGAGCTCTTAACCAACTGAGCCACTTGGCTGGCCCATTATGAGTCTTTAATCAGACTGTGTTTGTGGAATTTGCTTCTTCTAATTTTATTGTGTTATTTTTATTATTTTTAGTCTAACTTCTCTATACAATTTTTTTCAATTATTATTTTTTTCAGTTACAATTGATATTTAATATTATTTTATATTAGTTTCAGGTGTACACTATAGTGGTTAGACAGTTATATAATTTAGGCAGTGATTCCCCCCCGATTAGTTTATTACCCACCAGGCACTATACATAGTTGTTGCAATATTATTTATTATTTTATATGCTGTACTTTACATCCCTGAGTGAGTATTTTGTAACTACGAATTTGTATTTTTAATCCCATCACCTTTTCCACCTAGTCCCCCAACACCACCCCTCTGGCAAACATCAGTTTGTTCTCTGTATCTATGAGTCTGTTTCTTTTTTTTTTCCATTTATTTTGTGTTCTTTAGAGTCTACATATAAGTGAGATCATATGGTATTTGTCTTTCTCTGACTTATTTCATTTAGCATAATGCCCTCCAGGTCCACCCATGTTGTCACGAATGGTATGATTTCATTCATTTTTATGGTCGAGCAATAAATCATTGCATATGTTTGCATGTGCCACATCTCTATCCAGTTGTCAATTGAATGGCACTTAGGTTTTTTCCATATCTTGGCTAATGTAAATAATGCTGCAGTGACCATAGAGGTGCCTATAGCTTTTCAAATAAGAGTTTTGGATATATTTGAATAAATACCCAGAAGTGGAACTGCTGGGTCATAAGGTAGTTCTCTTTTTAATTTTTAAGGAAACTCCATACATTATATTATATTGGCTGCACCAATTTGCAATCCCAACAGTGCACGAGGGTTCCCTTTTCTCCACATCCCCACCAACACTTGTTGTTTGTTGATTTTTCATGATGGCCATTCTGACAGGTGTGAGGTCGTATCTCATTGTGGTTTTAATTTGCATTTCACTGATGATTAGTGATGTGGAGCATCTTCTGATATATTCATTGGGCATCTGTATGTCCTCTTTGGAGAAATGTCTATTCAGGTCCACTGCCCATTTTTTAATTGGATTTTTTGTTTTTTTGAGGTTGAGTTGTGTAAGTTCTTTATAAATTTGGGATATTAACCCCTTATTGGGATATTAACCCCTTATCATTGGCAAATGTCTTCTGTCAATTAGTAGGTTGTCTTTTAGTTTTGTTGATGGTTCTCTTTGCTGTGCAAAAACTTTTTAGTGAGATGTAGTTTCATTTATTTATTTTTTCTTTTGTTTCCCTTGCCCAAGGAAATATATTACAAAACAAATGTTACTAAGAGCAATGTCAGAGAGTTTACTGCCTATGTTTTCTTCTAGGAGTTTAATGGTTTGGGGTCTTACATTTAAGTCTTTAATCCATTTTGAATTTATATGGTGTGAGAAGGTGGTCCAGTTTCATATTTTTGCATGTATCTGTCCAGTTTACAGAACACCATTTATTGAATAGTCTTTGTTTATCTCACTGTATATCCTTGCCTCATTTGTCATAGAATAAATGACCATGTAAGTGTCAGTTTATTCTGGGGTCTGTGTTCTATTCCATTGAATTATTTGTCTGTTTTTATGCCAACACCATACTGTTTTGATTACTATAGACTTGTACTATAGTTAGATACCTGGTAGCATGATATCTCCAACTTTGCTCTTTTTCAAGAGTGCTGTGGTTTTTTGGGGTCACTTGTGTTTTCATATAAATTTTAAGATTATTTGTTCAAGTCCTGTGAAAAATACAAAATTAATATTTAGAAATCAGTTGAATTTTTATACACCAATAATGAACTATGAGAAATAGAAATAAGGAAAATAATCTCATTTACAATTGCATAAAAAATACCTAAGAATAAATTTTAGCAAGGAGGCAATAAACCTGTACTCGGAAAAGTATATGACACTAAAGAAAGAAATTGAAGAAGATACCAATAAATGGAGTATGTATTGTGTTATTTGAAGGAGAAATTAACATCGTTAAAATGTCCATACTACCCAAAACAACCAGAAGACTCAATGCAATCCTTATCAAAATACCAAAAATCAACCAAGTAAATTTGGAGATCTAGTAATTGGCTTTGTTAATGATTCGTGAATCAGGCAGTAATCCTTCCAGCAACCAGAAGGGAGTTGCCAGTGGTTGTATACAATGAAACATTTTTATCCAAACAAGAGTGGGGTGAGGAGCTATTAACAAAAGAAAAGATTAATGTTAGACCTGGATATTTTTTTGGGGGGGTAGGGAACAGCAAGGGTTTTTATCTTGCAGATCCCCTCTTCCTTCCATGGGGGATGGAGAGGGCCCATGTGACCGATTACCTTACTGGTACTTTAACAGAAAATTACAGACTGGTTGATGAACATTACATTTCTAATAGAGGTTGAACTGCCATTAGGTCCCGTGTTAAATTCAATTTGGCCTCATGAGCTCTTTGCACAAGTGATGCCATTTTGGACTTGTGATTTCTCTTTAACTGTAGTATGGACATTTAAAGAATATTAATTATTCCAATCATTGAACACAGAATATATTTCCATATTTGTGTCTTCTTTAAAATGCATAAATTTCTTAATTAAAGGAGCTATACAAAAAATAAGAATACATATTGTACAAATATATATATATTTGTATACATATATATAATTATATATATTAGTTATATAAATATTGATAATTTATACATGTAATCAATATATAATTAATTGTCTGTTATGTGATTATAAAAAATGTAATCTTCCTGATACTATTTTCTCATTTCTGATGGTGATTTGGGATGATGAACAAATTCAGGTGGATGCTGTGAGGATTAAATAAAATGTTTGGAAATAACTACTGACTCTAAGAACTCTATCACAGGTAAGGAGAGTATGTACAATAAACATATGTGCATTTTTACCTGACTCTGTTTCAGGCAAACACACACACACACACACACACACACACACACACTCATTAATAATTTCACCTTTAAGATAGAAAGGAAACTAGAAAGAAATTTGGAGAGAATAGAACTTAAATGAATGAATGGTTAAATTAACATGAAACTCCAAGAATTAGAAATTTATAATATGGATTTAAAGCAGAATGATTGAGGGCCAGCCAAGTGGCACGTTGGTTAAGAACTGGCTTGAGACACCAGCTCTGAGCAGCAGGGCCCCGGTTCGGAGCCCACATTAGGGCCAGTGACGCTGTGCCCTCTACAGCTAAGATGGTGAACAACAGCTAGACCTGGAGCTGGGCTGCCGAGTCCCCGGCGATGGTATAAGCTGCAAAGAAGCTGCAGTGGGCTGCCGTAAGCTACCGTGAGTGGTTGACAGCCGGCGTGAGCTGCCAAGAGACGCTGTGAGCAGCTGTCCAGTGGCTGGCGACTGATCTGCCTCACCTGGGAAGAGTGCAATGATCATAATACCAACATGGGCAAGTGAAGCGACACCCTCCTCAACTAGACTGAAGAACAAAAGGACAGCGACTTGTCTGTTCCCCTTCCTCGATTCCCAAATGCTGTTCCCCTCCTCCAATTCACCAATAAAAACTTAACAAAAATAAATAAAGTAGAATGGTTGACCTTAATTTTAGTAATGATTTATGTTTCCCATCTTAATGCACAAAGGCCTCAAAGTCAGACTCACATTTACTTTATGCAATGGAGAATTCATTAGACCAGCTAAGGGAGCAAATTCCCCAAATTGACTTTGCCTGTCTTCTACTTAAGGTGGAATTTCAACACAAAGCTATTATAAAGGGAAGCAAATAGAATAAACTGAGAGGCTAAAATTTACTATGGTACAAAAAAAAAATATATATATATATTAGATAAATATATTGTATTCTTGTTGTAAGAAATTACAACAGTAGGGTATAAAAGAAACAAGTTCATATTCTTACTGTTTTTGATATCAGAACCCTGAAACAAATCTCAATGGACTAAAATCAAGATTTTAGGGGGCCGGCCGAGTGGCACGATGGTTAAGAGCTGGCTTGGGACGCCAGAGGGCCCCGGTTCAGATCCCACACATGAGGGCCAGTGACACTGCCCTCCACAGCTAAGATGCTGAGCAACAGCTCAACCTGGAGCTGGGCTGCTGTGAGTCACCGGCGACGGTGTAGGCTGCAGCCCCTGCTGCAGTGGGTTGCCATGGGCTACCGTGTGTAGCCAGCAGCCAGCATGAGTGGCCGTCCAGAAGCCAGCAACTGATCTGCCTCACCCGAGAAGAGCGCAATGATGGTGCCAAATTGGGCCAGTGAAGCAACGTCCTCCACAACTAGACTGAAGAACAAAACGACAGCAACTTGTCTGTTCCCCTTCCCCCAATTACCCAGCACTGTTCCCATCCCCCCCAATTCCCCAATAAAAATCTTTTAAAAAAAACCAACTGGAAAACATTAAAAAAAAAAAGATGTCTGCAGGGCCAGTTCCTTCTGGAGGCTGCAGGAGAGAATCTGTTTCCTCTCCTGTTCCAGTTTCTCGTGGCCACAAGCATTCCTTGGGTCCTGGCCCTCTCTCCAACTCTAAAGCAGCAGTGGAGCATCTTCCACTCTCCCTCTAAATCCAACTATTCCCCCTTTTCTTCCACATTCTAGGTCGGCAGTGATTACATTAGTCCCACCTAGATAATCACTGCCAATTGTCTTATCTTAAAGCTGCAGGCTGATAGCATAAGTATTCCAAGGGCTACGTTTATACTCCCTTTACTATAAAACAATACATTCAAGGTCTCCAGGGATTAGAATGTGGACACCTTTTGGAGGCCCTTATTCTGCCTATTACAAAGTCTTTTTCAGAACTGTATTAT